CTTTAAGATTATCACTAATGTCGCCATGAAACAAAATTGATTGCATGGTGATCTTGACACCAACACTCAAACCTATTTTTACCGCTAAAGATTTCCATTTGGAAAAAAAAAAAGTTTCAGCAGAACAGAACAACAACAAGCTAATTTATGGCGGTTGCTTTGAAGCCAATACAAATTAAATTGGCTTTATAACTGATTTTCACCAAAGCGTAATAAAACTGCTTGGATACAATAGTACCATAGAGGTAACTCTAAGACACCTGGGTCCCGAAGAAAATCATTATTATTTTTGGCTCACTCAGTACCAGAACAACGGTCCCAAGCAGTCCCAAGCTATTTCACTCACCCCTGCATGTTCTGCATGAATCCACACACCCCTGATGTTATTTGTCAAACTTTCATAGCGAATCAAAACAAACATAGTGTAGTAATAGAATTTCAACTAGAATAGGGTACGTTAATCGTTTGCTTGGGACCAATAGGCTACTAAAGTGGTGAGCCAATTTAAAAACGTTGGTTTCGTATTGATTGTTGATAGTACTCTTATAGAGGCTATGAGAACCTTTTGTAGAGTATGAGGCTTCCTGACAAAAGGTTTTAAGACAGCTTTATTGTGATTCTCAAACATGCTTTATAAACCTTTTCAAGAGTGGTCCACTAAGCTGTATGACGATCTTATAGTGGTTATCAAAAGGTTGTGCTGGAGCTATTAATTTTATTGGCGGTTTTATGAAATTGATCTCAATAACCACTAATAGAGTGCAATAAAACAAGAAATGCTACTTGGGAAGGTAAACACTCGTCTATTTGTTTTCTTCTGTGAAAGCATGTTAAGTCACAAATCGTAGATTTTCTGATATTCTCCATACTGCAAAAAAGATTTTCCTATCACTGAAGATGCGACATCTCTCGGATCTGCAGTATAGCTACTACTCAAATCATATAATTAATTGAAAGCGTGCCCGGACGCGACAGAAACTATCGATTTGAAATTGGCTCACTACTTGACTAACCTATTGGTCCCAAGCAAATCGATTAACATACCCCATTCTAGTTGAAATTCTAGTACTACACTATGTTTGTTTTGATTCTCTATGAAGGTTTGACTGATAAAATGAGGGGTTCGTGGATTTTCCTATTTTTCGAGGCATACATCGATTAGCTTGGGACCGAAGAGAGTACCAGAGCTGAGCCAAAAAGTTGAGCACATTTCTTCGGAACCTACAAGCAACAATCCATACGAAACTAACGATTTTAAATTGGCTCACTACTTGACTAGCCTATTGGTCCCAAGCAAACGATTAACGTATCCCATTCTAATCGAAATTCTAGTACTACGCAATGTTTGTTTTGATTCGCTATGAAAGTTTGACAGGTAAAATGAGGGGTTATTGGTTTTACCTATGTTTCGAGGGGTGAATCGATAAGCTAGAGACCGAAGAGAGTACCAGAGCTGAGCCAAAAAGTTGAGCACATTTCGTCGGGACCTTCTGGTCCTCTATGCTACTAGTCTTAGAGTTACCTCTATGATATTTGTTAACAACAGTAACACGTCAGACAAACGTGCCTGTAAAATGTAATTAATGGAAATAATGGTAATAAATAAACGGAAAAGTAATTTTTGAGGAATATTCCCAAAAGTAAATTGGACAGCTATAGCAACAATCAATACGAAACTAACGATTTTAAATTGGCTCACCACTTTAGTAGCCTATTGGTCCCAAGCAAACGATTAACGTACCCTATTCTAGTTGAAATTCTATTACTACACTATGTTTGTTTTGATTCGCTATGAAAGTTTGACAGATAACATCAGGGGTGTGTGGATTCATGCAGAACATGCAGGGGTGAGTGAAATAGCTTGGGACTGCTTGGGACCGTTGTTCTGGTACTGAGTGAGCCAAAAATAATAATGATTTTCTTCGGGACCCAGTGGTCTTAGAGTTACCTCTATGGCTATAGGGAGGTGTCTTTTGCTAAATTTTGAGATCATAGGGGGGTGTCGTCTAATTTTGAAATCAACAATTATCAGTTTTTATGTTGTTAAAACGCATCCAAAACATCATTTTTACAACAAACGTTAACATTACCTAACGGAATAATTGATCAGACCATTATTCCGCAAGAAAATTTGAAATTGCATTCAGAATGCGCCATCTTCATGTCGATCACGATACTAATGGAATCGATCTTTTCTTTACCGATTTCTAAGGAAAAGTAATTTCTTTAGCATTCCGTGTCCTATCCCGTAGCTTGAGCTTGAGCTTGATTGACCGCCCACGGTTGCTACTCTGTTATTGCCAGATCAGCTGTAATTACACAGAGAACCAATAGACGATGCTTGGGACTAGCAATCATCCTCAATGTGTAAAAACTGGTGATCTTAAATTAGGCAATACCAGCGCCGGCCGCGCCCGAACACAGGTCAAGAAAGGAATGGGAAGGATTGTGTTGACATGACACTCGCTTTGATGGAAGCCGAGAACACCTCTGCACTTCCACGAGGAATCACTGGGATGTTGGATAAGAGGGTTGGGTTTGCAGCAGGGTTCGTTTTGGTAAACGATAAGCTGAATTGATGTCCTAACGATCGTATAACGCGAAGGAGCTTGGGACTTAACCCACGGTCTTCTGCTTAATAAGCAAAAACGTTTGCCACTAGGCAGACGAGCACCTTTTTAATAACCGAGTTGCTATTATTACCATGTAGTCATATTAACAAATAAAACGATTGATGAATCTTGAATGTGGATGGGCCTGAGATTAGACTCATGATGTTCTGCCCTAATAAACGAGCACCATACATGAACGATACCACAAATCGTGCCACCGTACCACATATTGTTGGGATGATAACCCGAATAGGTTGTTAGGCACTCTTTATGGTTATCGTTTATGCGGGTGCTCAGTAAGCAAAAACGGTTGCTCTAAGGCCACCGAGCCCCTCATATCACATAATACCGTTGCTCAAATTTTTGTATCCATTCAAACCCGGAATCAACGACAACAACGAGCATTCCGTATTCACGTAGCATGTAAAAACGTCATTACTTTTCAGCTGCGTACCAGGCTTATGGAAAGGCATGAATGGATCATATTGTTAATATAATATATTTGCTGAAACAGTCATCAATCGAAATTCCAAAATTATAGATCACAACAGTAATTTGGATTCCTTTACTTCATCCTCCTCCGTTCTAATCGCGCACTTGTTTTTGGCAAATCTTAATTTTTTTTCTTCCAAATCTTTAAGCCCGTATTTCTCCGTAAATACGGCCTTAATGGTGGGTCTAAACATCTTTAAATTGATTTATCTCCGTAAATCCGTAAATTTTTAGGTGTCAGTAATTTTTTTTCTCAATAAAAAAATCCTAATCCATTGTTTTTAGGCTGCCGGGTATGAAAATCTTTAAATCGATTTATCTCTGTAAATACGGCTCTAATGGAGATTCAGGTGTCAGAAATTTTTAACCCCCAAAAAAATTCCAAAACCCAATAGTTACAGGCTGGCTGGTATGAAAATCTTTAAATCGATTTATCTCCGTAAATACGGCTCTAATCGAGATTTGGAGGTGTCAGATTTTTTTTCTCAAAAAAATTCCCAAACCCTTTAATTTCACGCTGGCTGGTATGAAAATCTTCAAATCGATTTATCTCCGTAAATACGGCTCTAATCAAGATTTTGAGGGTTTTCAGGTGTCAGAAATTTTTTCGCTAAAAAAATGTCCCAAACCCATTAATTTCAGGCAGGCTGGCATGAAAATCTTTAAATCGATTTATCTCCGTTAATACCGCTCTTATCGAGATTTGGAGGGTTTTTAGGTGTCAGACATTTTTTGGTCCAAAATAAATTCCCAAACCCATTATTTTCAGGTTGGCTGGTATGAAAATCTTTAAATCGATTTATTTCCGTTAAAACGGCTCTAATCGAGATTCGGAGGGTTTTCAGGTGTCAGAAAGTTCTTCGCAAAAAAAAAATCCGAAACCCATTATTTTTAGGCTGGCGGGTATGAACATTTTTAAATCGATTTATCTCCGTAAATACTGCTCTTATCGAGATTTGGAGGGTTTTCAGGTGTCAGACATATTTTTGTTCAAAATAAATTCCCATACCCACTATTTTCTGGCTGGCGGGTATGAAAATCTATTGATATATCAGTGCCAACATTTCAAAGGGGCGTAATTGTATTTGTAAACAATGGCTTTAGCCATCGATTTCTCGCGAATAAAAGCTCACTAATGAAAAATAATGACACCAGCAGGTAGAGGAATTTCTCCTCTACCAGCTAGCATGGTTATTTTAGAGAGGCAAGATTTCATTCGCGAGAAATTGACGGCTAAAGTCATTGTTTACAAAAGCAATTACGCCCCTTTGAAATGTTGGCACTGATATCTCCGAAAATACGGCTCTAATCAAGATTTTGAGGGTTTTTAGGTGTCAGAATTTTGTTTGCCAAATTTCTTTTTCCAAACCCATTATTTTCAGGCTGGCTGGTATGAAAATCTTTAAATCGATTTATCTCCGTAAATACGGCTCTAATCGAGATTTTGAGGGTTTTTAGGTGTCACAGTATAATCTTGTTTTTTTTTTTATATTATCCATATTTAGACAGTCTTCTTTTATCTACTCATCGTGCGCGCACAGCAAAACACTATCTTTCCTGCATCGTAGATAGAGCCGTCCCCCTCGGGTTCAATACTGTATGGTATCAGCCGCATGAATGGATTAAATTAACAACAAATAATTCAAAAAAGTTGAACCAGTTTAGGACATAGACAGCTGGTCAGAGCAAAGCATATCGGAAACCAGTTAGGTATCAAGTATGCCAAGCCAAGCTTCAAGTTCAAACGGAGATGCATAAGAATTAATCATACATTTTTAAGAAGAAAGGCAGAGGAAGGAAACGAAGAAAAAATCCCAACCCATCGGGGATCCACCAAACTGGCTTGATGTAGAGCATTGTAATGTGCGATCGCACAGCATATATAGATTAATCAGTTCTTGCTTGCAGTAGTAATCAGGCATCCGCGCAAGATGGAACGAAAGTTGTTAGTTTTGGTGATTATACTCATAGTCCCGGGGAAGGGCACAGATGTTGAGATCAACAGTACCGTTAGTTCTTCCAGTTTTGGATATGAGCTGACCATGACGGGACTGGAAGCAGTCAACTACAAGTAAGTGTATTTACTGACCGTTTGAAAATTTAACGAGAGATCCCTGTTTTAGTTTGCAAAAGGATCATCTTCGCTCCAAGGAGTACCACCAGGTGATGTCCGCAGAAATCGAAGACCTCCGGAAGGCGGTGACGACTACAGAAGCACTGGTTATGCGACAAGCTAGTGTGTTGAATAACGTTGAAGCTCAGTTGAAGAAGCTGTCAAAAACTGTCGAACTGGTCGATGAAGTTCCGAGTATAAAGAACGAACTGGATCTACTATCATACAATATTTCTCGTGTTCTTAGTGACACCAGGTGATTCTAGTGACCATCCTGAATGACGTTTGTTTTAACAAGACTTATCTTGCAGTAAAATTTACCGAGCTCAACAAACCCTGGCCACAACGAAAATTTTGAACGATTTCCTGTTACAACTTTTTGGCAATCAACTGCGGTCCAAGGTTACCTCGCCGATGCTTACACTTCTACCAAAAGAGCTACCACAATCTTGCACGGACGTTGGTGATCTACGCTCAGGAGTTCATCGAATTCATCCACAGTCTGGATTCAAGGACTCCTTCGATGTGTACTGTGATCAAAACTACCTGGAAGGAGCTTGGACCGTAATTCAAAATCGCTTTGATGGATCAGTAAACTTTTACCGTGGATGGAATGAGTACGAGCACGGATTCGGTAATTTGCGGGGTGAATTTTGGCTTGGGTTGAAAAAAATTCACGAACTCACGTATGCAAAACAACACGAGCTGCACATTGTCATGGAAGACTTTGATGGGAAAACGGCTGTCGCCAAGTATAGTCACATGCTGGTGGGTGGTGCAGAAGAAAAGTACGCCCTCAACAGTTTGGGAACGTACAGTGGAGACGCCGGAGACTCCCTTCGCTTTGCAGTTAAGCAAAAATTTTCGACGCTCGATTCCGATAACGATTCCCATGCTCCTGATAATTGTGCTGTGCTGTACCAGAGCGGATGGTGGCATGCTGCGTGTCACGAGAGGTGAAATGTGATGTTAAATTGCGATGAACTTGGTAAAGCATCCAATTATGATTCATTGCAGTAATCTCAACGGATTGTATCTGAAAGGGAAACAGGAGGTATTCGCCACGATGATGTGTTGGAAGGCATTCCGAGGCTACAACTATGGGTTGAAACGCTCACGGATGATGATTCGCCCCGTCACCTGAAATGCAGGAAAAAAAAAACCTATTCGTATTTAAGGTAAACTCTGCATTAAACAGCTATTGTATTGTAAGCATTTATAATTACGTAAAGAAGTGGGCAATAAAATCGATTATTCCATGATGTAAAACCGTTTACTCAATTTCGCTCGGATCACCCACAGCGAAAACGGGTAATGGTAAGTGATAATAACTCCTCCGCGAAATGCTGTCATTCAACGTCATTGGCGGTCAGGAGATCTTTAAATACCAAAGTGCGGTTGAGGAAAACAAATTACGAGAAAAAAAAAAATTGGACGTACTAGGAAACAGTGGATTGGATTCGTCAGTGTCAGGCGTGAAAATTGGATTTTGCGGTTTGAGATATTTTCAACGGAAATAGCTTGAACGGACATACGTTCACTTAAATCAAAAATATTAAACAATTTTCCGCTATCAAACTCGGTGGAAATTATAGAAATGGTCGATGTTCATAAAATAAACAAATTTGAATGTTTCTACCTATGGTGAGCTCGGACCCATCCTACATGTTTTGAAATTGAATGGTGCACAATGGCCGGAAGCCAGATAATTCTGAATGCAGCTTTAGAATTTTTATTTGTTTTATAAGCTTTTCCTAAATCTTCTATTTTTTTTCCTTTGATTTGTTGTTTTCGACGATCTTGTTTTCCGTGTTGAGCACCAATCCTACCGACGCCAGGGAGGCAGCTCCCACACCTGGACCCTACCTATCGACTCATCAACTCATGAACCGGGGACCAACGGCTTTACTTCTCTTCCGAAGGAAGGCGTGATCAGAGATGTTATGCCTCAGAACATCCCGGTGGCGTTGACTGGGATTGAGCCCTGGCCTTCTGTGGTGAGAGGTAATCACATTTACCACTACACCACCAGCGCCATAATTGTTTCGATCTGGATAATGTCTTATATACAATACAATATTTGTGGGTTGAAGCTCTTAGCTATGCGTATCATGATGCCACCCTTAGATTAGTCGGAGAAGGCACACCTATAAAGCAAGACCATTATGGATGTGGTTATGTTCGATTCTCGGTACGGACTTATTTCGTGAGTGGTGATGCTCCGTGATACCTTTCGGAGTTTGATTCATCAGAATGCGCAGTTCAACCAACCGGTGGAAACTAACGATTTTAAATTGGCTCACTACTTGACTAGCCTATTGGTCCCAAGCAAATCGATTGACTTACCCCATCTAGTTGAAATTCTAGTACTACACTATGTATGTTTTGATTCGTTATGAAAGTTTGACAGATAATATAAGGCGTTCGTGGATTTTCCTATGTTTCGAGGGGTACATCGATTAGCTTGGGCAGAAGATAGTACCAGAGCTGAGCCAAAAAGTTGAGCAAGTTTCTTCGGGACCTTCATGTCTTAGAGTTACCTCTATGATTGAACTCTCCGCTGCAAATTATGAGGTTGCATGGAAGGTACTTCAAGATCGATTCGAGAATTAAAAAGAAACTGATTGTGAAGGCGTACCTGGATGCACTCTTTTCGCTAGAGCCGCTCCAAGAAGGAGTCAAACGATGAATTGACCCACCTCATCAGTGAGTTCAAAAAGAACCTGCAGATGTTGGAAAAAATCGAAGAACAAACTGCCGATTGGAGCACTATTGTTGCGTACATGATGTGCTCTAGATTGGATACAGCAACATTGCGTTTATGGAAAGCTCATCACAACAGCAAAGAAGTCCAACGTTTCGGAATTAGATGACATTCCTGCGCAATCAGTGTTCAGTATTACAATCAATTACCCCTCCGAAGTCTACCAGTTCCGATCAACGTCAGTTGAAGTTGAAGTTGTTGCGGTTTGCCATGCTGCGGTGATGTTGTCCAACAGGAGTCAGGAGTATTTCGTTCGTTCGTCATTGATCACGAACGTGCGAGCAAGGAGTATGTCACCACTGCAGGCAAAAACATCACTCAATGCTCGATATAAACACTGATTCAAATCCACAGCAACCGAACTAACAATGCACCCACAAACATACAGCCAACTGGTCAGCTTCCTGAAGCCAAAATTATGTGGCACTCCACAAAACACCTACACACAACATTCTCTTGTCAACGGCACTAATTCGAGTTAAGGCCGAAGTGCAATGTGGGCGGAAGCGGAACGGAAACGGAAAGTTTGACAGTTGTCACAAATGATATCAAGATGCCTAACCGAAGTCGATTTGGTGCTAACTAGTTTTCAATCCGACAAGTGGGCTTACTCAGATCGGGCTTTTCTGCTGCCGCTGTCATTGTGCTTGGGCCTTTAAAGACCGGTATGGAAACGTTGCATTGTTGGATTTTTGCTCCCAACAGTGCTTGAGGATCAACGAGTTCTCGAACAAACTCTGTCTGTGCAAGGTATTGGTTCACCATATCGTTGCCTGCTGCCAGCTTCAATCCGTCGGAGTGGAACCTTCGTTCCTAGCAGATCCAGACTTCAACAGACAATCGGGTCCGGTAGGCTTAATCATCGGGGTGGAATACTACTTGAATCTTTTGGCCGATAGACAGCTAAAGGACTCACATTGCAGAATAATGTATTTGGATGAATCTTGTCTGGTTCGAGTACCGAATAGCCCAATCAACGAGTCGCGTTCCCTTACTAATAATGTCTTCTCTACTGCGGAGTTACATGACCAGCTAACCAGATTTTTTTTCCTCTGTTCGAGACCTAACACCACTGCGACCAGTAATTTGATATATTGTAGTATTAGAGTGATGCAAAATTTGAAATTTTCGCTCCACAATACTTAAACCATTCCAAATCGGATCCTGACTAGCCTCTCAAAATTTGAACCCATTTGGTGAGAAACTGAGATGGCACAAGCCATTTGAAGTTTGTATGGGAATTACTATGGTAAAACCAAGATTTTTGTTCATGTCTATCTAATAATTCACCATATCAATTTGCTTCAACTGTACTTGTAGAGAATTTTCTCAGCTACAACTTTGCTGAAGACCACTTTTTGATTAATTGCAAGGATCGAAAGTTATCAATGGTTCAATGCGCTGATGTCTTATGATCATGCTCAATCAGCTGCTCAGCAGGCAACATTGGTGTTTCTGGAGCGTTGAATAGGACACAAAAATTATGGCTACTATGTCACACTGCAAAATACAGTGTTGCCTACAGAGCAGCTGCTTGATCATGTCATAAGTTTACCAATCTCTTAAATAATTAATAACTTTTTCTTGTCTCGTTTTACATAGAAATAATCTTCAGCAAAGTTGTAGCAGAGAAAATTTTCTATAAGAATGGCTAGCGAACTGTTTCGCAGCTAAATATGGAAAAAGACTAGAAGGTAATGAACAAAAAGTTGAGATTTCCCATAGTTATTTACATGTAAACTTCAAATGGCTTGTGCGAAGTCTGTTTCTAACCAAATGAGTTGTAACTTTGAGAGGCTAATCAGGACCCGATTTGAAACCATTTAATCACTGTGGAGCGAAAAAGTCAAATTTTGCATCAGTCTATTGTAGTATATTCCGTGTCCTTAGTTTAGTGCATGTCGTATTACCCCATCACTATTGAGAAATGATGAAGTATTCGATTTTTTTTTACAGTTGTCATTCTCGCATTTATCGCAAGGACTAAGATGTGTTCCTTGGATTACTGAAAAATCCTGTTCCCCTACACAGCAAAAAAATAATTTTGATATCACATCAAAGTGGATGCACTACAATCATGTCGAAAATTTCATGTAATTTTTATGACCACATAAATAAACAAATGCAGTAAAAGTAGCGTAATGTCAGTTCATGCATTGTATTAATGATAATTTTGTCCTTTTTAGCAAGTAATATTACAACATATTTTCCACATGATTGTAGTGCATCCACTTTGACGTGATATCAAAATTATTTTTTTGCTGTGTAGTTTGAAGTAGTCAGGACTAGGAATCGGTGGTAGATCTTACATCCCGTAACGTACCACGAAAAGGTGATCTACCCACGTTACGGGGCGTGTTCGTTACAAGAATGTCTTTTTTTTTTTTTTTTCTTTGGTTTGTTTTTCCGTCGATCTTGTTTTCCGTGCTGAGCACCAATGATACCGACGTGCCAGGAAGGCAGCTCCCACACCTGGACCCTACCTATCGACCCATCAACTCATGAACCGGGGACCAACGGCTTTACTTCACTTCCGAAGGTAAGCGTGATCAGAGATGTTATGCCTCAGAACATCCCGGCGGCGCCGACTGGGTTTGAACCCAGGCCTGCTGGGGTAAGAGGTAATCACGCTTACCACTACACCACCGGCACCGTTCACTGATAACAGTTTTCAGTTGAATCTCACTAATAGCAGAATCCGTTTTCAATGTAATGTCACAGGAAGATGTTTTAGTTTTCAATGTTTATATGTTAACCGTTAAAACGACCAAAACGATTGTAACCTGAGTTATCGTTATCAGCGACATCAAACATCAGGTTTTCAATTTTATCTCAGACTTGCTTTGCTCGGAAAGATTTCCCTATCAACCCATCAAAGTTAAAAGTGCACTTGTTGAATTTACCGATGGTTATTTTAAATGTTTTGATTTGTGTCTAATACGGTATTTTATTCATATTTGTTTGATTGTAAACCAGGTTATTTATTTATGAGCAGCAATACGAAATGTGTCCTTTTTTTCAACACATCTTCAGTGTCTTCATTTTGCTTGTGATCTCAAACATGTAGACCCTGTTTTACTGAACACCTCAGGACCATATAAATGTGTCCCAAGATCTCTATACAGCGTATTATTTCATTTCAGTCCAACAGAATGCTTACAGTAACAACTGTAAGTCATCTTCGGCAGCCACCTTTTCCCTAGTCCATTCATCGATTTGCTTCACCAGCTCCTCCGAGAGTTCCCGCTTCCAGCCATCGGCCTCTCCTTTCCTGATCAACCTAAAAATACACATCTTTTAATCAGAACCAAAGTTGTACAAGAATTTACTCACATTGTGTTCATCGAAGGATTATTTTTCATCGATTGAAATGACAGATGCTGACATAGTTTCTCAACCTGATCCTCA